GCTTAAGTATGATTGTATGTGTTTTCGTAATTTTTTATTTTAAATATTATTTTAAGTATAAATAAAAAAATTAGCTAATTTCTTGGAGAAATATTTTCTCATATAAATATACTCAAGATCACATTTGGCCCAGAACGGTCCATATAAACTCTAAAAAGCACCTCTGTTAATGACGATAACCTCGAAAAAGTTCTCGAAACAGTGCTTGAAAATCGACAGCCGTGGATCTCTGGATGTCTTAGATAACTACTCAACATATTATGGGTAATGCTATACTCGCACAAAAATCACATTGTAGCAAGCTTGTGACTGATTTTTTCGTCAAATCCGAAATGAAATCGTTCAACCTTCGTATTCGCCTGAAGTTTTTTACATATGTATGTCGTTTACACTTCACACGAACATCAAAATAAAAGAAARAAAGTATTTTCACACGAATCACTTTGGGTCAAATTTGTTCTTGAGGTACTTTCATCTTCGAACACATTTTCTGAAACAATTAAAAAATTTTTCCTATGAATAACTCCATTAGTAGCAAAAAATTCAGATAAAACAACTCGAAAAATAAATTTTAAAAATATTTAAACTCTTTTATTTCTAAATTTTCATAAACTAACTGTTTTTTTTAATACCTCACTACTCATATGGCATGACAAGCTTATAATTGTTTTTGCAACCAACTCGCTCAATAAATAACTGTTTGTGTTTTGTGTGCGTTGCCATATTTTTCCATAACTAAAACGTTATCTAGACTTCTATGCGAAATTCGCTTTCCAATTCTCAAAACTCTCCTTTAGGTGGTAAAAATTCGCGTGGTATACGCGTCTCCTCCTACGATCCGGACGAACCGAATGCCACACATCACGGCAATAGCAACAACACAGGCGGCAATAGTGGCACAATGAGCAGTTTGGGCAACACCAGCCAAGGCACACCAGGTGGCAGTATCGCCGGCTGCATCGCATCGAAAACCTTGGGCAATCAGCGGAAATTCATGCCCGGCGGCCAACGGGTCGCCACCATCAGCCAGAACTATAACGAGAAGACGATGTTGCTGAGCAGCGATGATGAGTACCAGTAAACGAGGCCGGATCGTGGTGTCGTTAAGAAGTGAGTAACGGAAGCGAGCCGCCCTAATAGCACTTTTTAAATACTATAAAAACTCACTGATTACACCGAAGCAACAGGTGGAAGAACCGTTTAGGCTTTGGACGTGTGTTGGCGTTTTTATTGTAATCTTCTTAATTTGCTGTTTATTTTGAGTTTTTGATGTGTAAGTGTTGCCAGAAATTAGCTGCGATTGCCGTAATTAGTGGTCGCAGGTGAATTTCATTGAAAAATATTGTTTTTTGTTGCAAATGTAAGGCTTTGTACAAATTAATTTTTAATTTTTATTGCGGAATTAATTTTTGTATTTTTATCAAAAGTGTGTAGATCAGTACAAATAATTACGGTTATATATAAAGGAAAAAGTTTTAAATGCCAGCAAGAGCAGCTAAGGTGCTATTTATAGATTTCATAACATTTTTACTAGAAAATATGCAATTTTATGCCACATCTTCCATAAGTGAGGTTATGTTATTATCTTTTATTTATAATTGATTTAGTTACGTTATTTATTGCAAATTGCAAATGCAGAACTGAACTGCCGTTGTTTACTTTGTGCTTTTAGCAAATCTCAGTCGCACACATACTTATGTAATTATTGTATGTATGTATGTATACATAAGCTAGCAAAATATGTAATCCTTTGCGGTGAACTTGGCGCGCTTCTCTACAGCAAAACCAACAAATGTCCAAAATTGTTTCTATTATTGTAACATTATTAACAACAAATATTATGTATTATTATTAATGTACGTCGTATGTATGTACAATCGTATAGCACGCATCCGTCGTTCGGTGGTCGTGTGTGAGTGTGTATTTTAAATAAAAATATACTGCAAATGAAAATAAATACAAATTCACAATCCACAATATGTATGCTTTGCATTAGAATTTTAAGCGAATTACGGATTGTAATATTCAAAAAAGTAGTGGCAGGGGCAGAGTTGTATTTGAGTAGATGAGTAGAGCGGAAGCCGTTAGATATAAGAACTTTTCAAAAATCTAGATAAAGCATTGAAATGTAAGAAACTAGTATATTAACTGAACTGAAGAGTGGTGAGAAAAGAGGAAATCAAAATAAAAACCAAATGTGAACTCATATTTAACATATACATTAATATTTATTTAAACAAATTAATTTTTAAATTTTTTTGCTAAATTTTTTCTATCTTTTATTTATTTTTGTTTTTTAATTGCGGAAAGTGAATAAATTAATATAAAAAAATAAATTAAAATTGTGAACTAATATTTGATATAAAAATATTTATTTAAAGAAATTATGTATTTTTTGTTTTTTAATTTTTAAATTTTTTACTCATTTTTTATTTTTATTTATTTGTTACTTTATAATTTCAAACTTTATTTAAGATTTTTTCTTAGTTGTGTTTTTTAAACTTTACTAAGTTCTTTTATTTTTTAGTTTAATATTTAGTCTGTTAAAAGAAGAAGTCTGTTAGAAGAAGCGTACATACATTTTACATCTACATATTTTTTTTTTCAATTTATATCTGTTTTTTGTGACATTTTCTTTATTTTTTTAACCTAGTTTAGTTTGAAATCCATTTAAAAATGCAAATATACAGTTATAAATTTAAAAATACTTTTACTTTTTATGTAAGTATGGTTGGTTGGTGGTATGTGTTTCTAAGCCTCTAACCCAGCTGGTTACTCCGTTTCCCAACTATTTTCATATGAGAAATTAACATTACAAATTAAATGAAATATTGTACAGTTCTGTAATAAATTACATTCAGTCCTCTTACGCGCTTCTCGTTCAGTTAATTACAGCGCAGAGAATTTAATTATGTTAAAATATTAAAATGAATCAATTACTTTTCTCCTGTAAAGAAAATTTGTATAAAAATGTATTAAAATAAAATAAAAATATTAAAAATAAAAACCTGAGATAAATTATTAGCACTATGCGTATGTAAGTTTATCAAAAAATATATATCCTACATACATATAGTATGTATGAACATTGTGTGAAATCGTTGACTATTTATTCGCTTAAACGCTTAACAGACGTATGAAGATAAAATCATTTGTGAATGGTTTCTAAGACCTCAACGTGGTTTGAAGGAGCAAGAAATACAAATAAAATCAAATAAAACACGACAAAATTAAACTAGTTCAAATGCGATGATTTGAGAAAGATTTTCGGAAAATATAGTGTGACGTTTTTAAGGTATTAAGAAACGTCAAAATAATGTAATTTTTTTTTTTTTTTTTTTTTTTTTTTTTTCTTTTTTGTTACTACATGTTTGTCTCCGGTATCAAAGGAGGTTAGTTATACTCTCCCTTTAAAAATAGCATACCAAAATTTATATTTTAAATCTTTTCTGAGTAACAGACTTCTAAAGTGTAAATTTGTTATGTGAATTCATTTATTATACGTATTTGAACATGTAATTCAAATATTAAAACATTTCAAGCAGTATTTTTTTTTTTGTTAAATCTCTAAAAAATCACTTTTTTAGATCGCCACACCCCCTTTTAATCAAGCTCTTAAATTCAAATCATAACCTCGAAGAAAATTTAAATTAGCTTATTAAAGGAAAAATCGGGACCTTGACTACCTTCCCTAAAATCCCATTCTGAATCAGTTTACAAGACAAGACCCGAAATGAATTAGGGAAAATAGAAAATGAACGAAATCAGTGTTCAGTTTACCATATATAATTTTATGTTTAATTAGTTGTCTAATTTGTCATTTTTAAGTTACCAACACCAAAGAAACTTTGACTGAAAATAGTTAAAAAGCGTAATACCAAAAAATGGTTGCGTTGATCTGAAAGTGAATTGATTGAACTTCATTTCAACCGCGGGGAGTTGACAACCGTAATAGGGGTATAAAAGATGGGTGCAAAATTTATTGCTCTCATTAAATATTTCACATCCCGGAAGTTAACAGACAAGCCGATAATGTCCAGCAATTATGCTCCTATATATCATTAATCTATTCGGCTGTTCGTCCCAATACTAGGAAGGGGATAAAACAACACCGCAGTCGCAAAATTACTGTAAACTAGTGGAATTCACATATGATAAATGAGTGTATGACTTGACTTAAGGGGTTACATGGGCTTCCTCGGTTAAAAAAAAAACAGACTTAAATTTTTTTTTTATAAAAAAAAAGTTAAAGATATTATTAGAATTTTTTATTCTTACAAACATACACTAGTGGCAAAGAAATTCTGAAATTTGTGGAAAAAAAATATTAAACTCGGCCATACAGGATCATTTAAAGTGGAAAAATACGTGTTTTAGTTAAATCCTGGACGAAGGAAAAATAACTGAAACTTGGATTTTTTCAGACGTTTTTACAAAAAAAAATTAAAATTTCGCGACCTGTGTAAAATTTTATGAAGATCGGTTGTATAGTTCTCAAGAAATCTTGCAAACGACTTCAAAAACACAGCTTCGAGAAAAACGCGTTTCAAGGCTCAACTTAGGATAATATTCTAGAGCTGTTATAAGACAATAAAAATTGATTTTTTGAAACCCGCAAGCCCATGTAATCCCTTAAAGATAAACCATTGTCTGCTGAGGGACGAAGTCCACTTTCTTTGGTGATATTCGAAGCACTCGCACTTTAATTGAACCGAATGGTTCAGGGAAATTCCAAGGGTATTTTAACATATTGTAGACAAGCAAATTGTCATATTTTCTATGTCTGTGACATACTTGGTGTGGTTCAAAATTTTTTAGCTAATTTATTCATTAATTAAATCGCCATTAATGGCGAAGATTTGGCCAGTTTTGTGTGTCTTCCTATATCCTTTAAAAGTGTGTGACGTTAATTGAGACTGAAATATTTTCCTGCAATTATCGATTTATCTATGTATGGAAGCTTCACCTTTCTCTTTAATAAACATTTCATTCTCTCTTCTATACTCTTCTGAATGTATGAAATACCATATTTTAAAAAACCGTATGTCCTTTTTCCCTACCGGGTCTTTTAGATACATAACATGGGGTATGTACATATATATGTGTAAGTGTAAACATATATGTGTAAGTGTAAACACAGATTATGAAAAAGTTTTGTAAAAATTAATCCATGATTATTCATTCAATTTGTTGCCAATGTTCGTTTTCTTCTCACTGTCATCAAATTTTTTATCCGTGTACACACATACATACATACCTATGGTAATTACATATATTTGAGTACTTATACGCACGGTTGGGCGAAAATGGATTTATTGTTGCGTAATTGAGTGTTACAAGTATACAGAGATTCATGCAGTCAATCAATACAGGTATAGCTGGTATTTAAAGCCACGGCTGCAATTTCTTATTCAAAATTATTGAAGTTATTTATTACGAAATAATGGCGTTTCGTAAACAAACTTGCAAGGATTTCCCATTAGTATGATCATCCTTTCTATGAGTAGTATTTAAAACTTTAAATGATTTTAGAATTCGTACAGTTGGTCAGATTGGGCCGAATTATTGTTGGTTGGCAGAGTTTTATGCTTTTGGCGAACTTTAGTGAAATCAAATCAAAATTCTTTGAAAAAAAAGCTTGATGGATTTAGTCGAAGGCGGGGTCTTAGAGAAGGTTTGAATACCAAGAATAAATTGGATATTGCTGATTGCTTGTGAAATTTAATTTAAACTTTTATGTAAAAGGTGTTCCATTTCGCGATTCCTTAATTTTTCAAAGAAAAAACAGAGAAACTTCAAATTTAAAGGGGCATATGATTCCACCACTCCAAACCGGTTTTTTTCTGATTGAAATTGCAGCTCTTGAAATTCTTTATGTTGCTTTTCGTCCCAAATACGACMGTTTTGCTTATTTACCTATTGAGCCAGAATTTGACGTCATCGCTGCATAAAATTTGGTTCGAATACTTMGGATCTTGGAACATTCCAAGAGCTTATAGAGCGAAGAGTTCTTGCGCAAGCTTTTGTACGCGTTCAGGAGTAAGTCTYTCCATGATGAAATACCAAACAATACTGAACATGACTCCCGCGTTATCTACAACCAAATAAACAGAAAAAGAAATATGGTAGGTTTAAGCTGTAAATGCTTCAGCACTTAGTGACAAGTGCATCTTTAATTATGTGAACGCATACAGGCTGCTTTATGTCTTAAAAGCTTATGAACTGCTTGGCTGGCAATGAAAGGGTATGCAAGGTATAACTTTTTTTGTCTCAGTAAGTAAATTTTAGGTTTATTTCTCCAAACTCGCTCTCCATTTTGTGGTAAATTCAAGTTTCAAGCTCCAGAAGGCAGTTAGAAACCCAATACAGTTCTTGCGATTGTTATTAAAGAACCACTAATGATTCACAATAGAAACAACAGTTTTAGACGTGACCTGAGTGAGTGATTAAATTGCTAAAACTTTGAGAAATTTTGAAAGTAACACATATACTATAGAAATAACTGTTTATAAATTGCCAGTCAAAAAACTAGTTAGAGAACACCAAAGTTAGGGAATTCTGCCTGCGGTGATATCTATATCTGATTAGAATAGACCAGGATACATATATTTATTATAGCCAAAACAGGCTCCTGGGCCAATAAAAAATGCCAACGCTTAATATAATTGTCCATACACTTGTTATAACTTGCGTTTTATGAATGTATATTTCTCCACTACGTTGTTAAAGGTCAAACTCATGGTGTGAGACACGCCAAGCTACTAATGGGAGGTTACAACCTGAGAAGGTTTAAAATAGTAATTAACTTGCCCAAGAGCAAACTCAGGCTGTTAGTCGCATGGTACACTGGCCACTGTAAGCTGAATGGGCATCTGTACAGAATGGGCCTATCAGCTTGCGCAAACTGCCGGTTCTGTGACAGGGAGCCTGAAACTCCGGAGCATCTGCTGATCGACTGCACACCAGTCTGTATTCGCAGAGCCAAGGCCCTTGGAGTTCCATTTCCGGATAGGGATCGCATTGCCTCGCTAGCGCCTAGCAGCCTACTGGACTTAATTAATGGGCTGGGTCGCAGTGCATTCCTCATTATCATTCATTCATTCATTCAAAGGTCACTTAAGCGATCATTTAGTACGAGCTTTGACACCACTCATTCCGCAGACAATAACAAAAATGTGTTGACTTGATCCCCAAGAGATCTTCTGCTATCTCTCTGATGCCAATACGATGA